GAGAGAGAAATAGATAGATATATGGTATCGCCTTAAAGACAGTATTCTTTTTTCTATGGGCCGTGTTTCTTCAGGATGTGGGCAATCATAGCTCTCCACAAATTCCTGTGCTTTGTAACTCTTAATAAAGTGTTTCTTTTTGTTATCTCTCCTGATCCCTGTTTCGCCAACCAATTACACAAGCCGTTACGTAGGTTATGCGCTATTTTTCTCTGCCCCTCTTGCCTTCATTATCACCTGTGAATGTCAAATTTTCCAAGCTTTTCTCATTATGTGGCCTAAAATTTCAATTGCTCTAATATTAGCCGCTAATAAAGACAGAAAGAAAAATGACAGCAAATCGTCAACAGCAGCAGCAGCAATCGAAATATAACAACCAGCAGCAGCAATTGCAGCATTAATCAGCAGGTAGGTTAAGCTCAAGTTTCCACGTTCACTACAGAAAATTGTCCTACGGGAGAATGGCCTAGTGGATGAAAATTTTGTTTTGTGATTTTAGTAGCATAGTAGTTGCGAAGTCAGTGTGTTTGTAGACTCAATTGAAACGGGGGAGCAACAACTAAGCAGTACGATGAATAAGGAATTGACAATCTCCCTAGACATAGGCAGTGGAACGAGAATAGTCTATCCACGTTAAGGAAATGAGTTCGGCTTAGAATTCTCTGCAGGTTACTCAATATACACAAAGATGAGGACAACAGTCTGAATATAAATAGTGTAAATAAGTGTTGCTTACATATTCAGTCCCTGGTATTCTCAACATCCTTCTGTAGAGTTCATCTATAAGAAGATTGGCTAAAATTCACTGCCATATACGAAGGACGATATTGCATAACTGTTTAGTACTCTTTTCTTTATAACTACATTTTCCTGTTACTTAATATTTGCTTAGCTTTTGGAAGGCATCTTTCACTATCCCAATGACCCTTCGTATTTCGGTGTAGCGTTTTCCGTCCTCTGTTAAAATAATTACCAGATATTTAATTTTTGTACTTGCTTGATTCTGCAGTTTCTAGTTTGCAATTCGCATGTTTGGCTGTTTCTTTTGTTGACTACCATAGATTCTATCTTCTTATAATTCTTACCGTAATACTATAAAATATAATAAAAATTTAAAATGAATGAAATAAAGTCATAAAAAATTCATAAAAAAATGCATGAATTTTAAAAATTAAAACTATAGTGCATATTAAAAGCTGAAAAAATATATTTATTTGAAATACCTCCCAATTAAAGAGGAGACAAAGATATACATTTTCATCTAAGGATGCTGAGTGCATATGAGCTGAGTAGGTGTGCAAAGTGGAAGCTTAGTGAAAACGAAAAGAACCCTTGTATTTAGAATAAGAAAGAGAAGTCTGAAATTTCTGGAACACATAACTAGGGATGAGGGCTCGGCGAAGTTGACACACACAAGAAGGAAATATCGTGTAACCTTCCTAAGTAACTTTTGTAAATCAATGGCAAATCACGCAAAGCGGGGGATAGTAAGGAAACAAGCATCGCTTAGAACTACGAAAGAGAGGAAGTCGCGGAGATCCATGATCGCTCACATCACAAAGATTATAGTAACTTAAGTATTGCGACATCGTTTATATATTA